ACGTGAAAAACATGTCATTTCCCCAGGCGGGGTCTCTTTTAAATGAAGTGACCTAAAAATACAGTGTAGGATGTCGAACAGTGGACACGTAGCAAAGCTTGCATACATTTTCCAGATGAAGGCAGTTTATAACTAAATGTGGATCTTATATGGCAGTTCAGTGTAGGGTCTGAATTTGAAGAGAGCAACTGCCTCATTTCTCTTCCTGTACGTTGAATTCCATTGCTTTCCATTCAGCACAAAGACTGTGGATTTGATGTTTCTCTGTGAAGAAATTTTTTGCCAGCTTTGTACCGTTTACATGAAAACTTTTCTTCCCTCTCAGCTGGCGGAGCCAAAAAATGTAAGCAATTAAAGAAAAATGAGGAACATTTTTCACGGGACAGCTGGGAGATAGAGTTTCAGTCTCACCCTTTGCTTCTCTCTAAATTGAATAACAAACTGACTTTGTCCTTTAAAAATTACATCAAGATATGTTGTTTTTACTGTTTTCAAACCAGCTGTCCCCTGCTTAACCTTTTAAAAGCATCTTGTTTTCTGGAGACACACCTTTTTGTTATACTGATTCACTTATTTCTTGCTTACCACTATTATATATTACAGGAATTTGGGGAGTCCTTCAAAGTCCTTCAAAGCTAATGCCTGCACTGTGGTATTGTCTTTATTTTACCATTAAACGCGATGATCTTCAGGCTAAGGAGTGGGCTGTGTCAGAAATTCATGACGGCTACCTTGCAAAGATTATTTATAACCCGACTGAACACTTCACACAGGGCAGGCTACAAAGAGGTGACCGTGGTTGTTTAACTGTTTTATTTTGTTTTTAATCCTATTTATCTTTGCTGAATTGATCTTTATCCTGCACATGTTACTGATATTTCCAGCTTTTTCTCTTCCCAGGTTTTTTAAATTCTATAGAATTCTTAGGAATAGGTGAAATCTTAGGAAACATTATTTAAAGACATTAAAAATCCCCTTGTGCTAGGCCTCATTCCTGAACTTACAGTTTGTTTACTAATTTTGATCTTGGTTTCATTAATACTATTTCTAGCAAAACTCTGCATGAGTTCCAACTTAGCTTTACACCTGTGTGCATTTCTGTTACTCACATTTCATCCAGATGCTTCCTTCACACTATACAAAGGAATCTATTGTCCGGGGACTTTGTAGACTCCATATGCGCTAATAAAGGTTTTGAGAGGTTTGGAAAATATAATACAGTGTTTGGTTTTCAAGATTCAGGAATCTGAATTGCATTAGCAAACTTCCTAGACATACTTGTTTAGTTTCCTTTCATAACTGCTGGTACTGGTAGGCCATGAAAGTTATTCCTGCTATTGAGCTGCAGTACGATTTTAAGAATAATATGGGACAAAGGTGAGTATCGGGAGAGAGCAATTAAAATAATATTTATTTTACTGCCTTTTTAAACTGAATTTGAGGAATTTCCACTGAGATACAAACTATTTACAAAACAGTTGCTAAATGAATCTCCCAGTGAGACACGGATGAAACTCTATAGTGCTAATGTTTCTATTCACATCATTGAGATGTGAGGTGTGTTGGCCATCTGTTATATAAACCTGAATAGGATCTGAAATCCTTACACCTAAGACCTGATTTTTTTATGCCATCGCTTTTACGGAGGTGTGCCATAAAAATGGCCATGTGCTGGCAACCTGTGCAACTGGACCCCTTTAAATCTGTGTAAAAGTGATGACATTTCAAGCACCTCAGCTTCTCCTAAAATTAAAACAGCTAATTGCATTAAGGTCTGTGGCCTGAAGAGATTATACTGTTGCTTAGAGTTTGTTTTTCCCCCACCTCTGTAATATCCCTAATGGGGTCTACAGCTGTGCGAGCAACAGCGTGCACGACAGACTGCCTCCCCATTGGCAAGCCAACTGGAAGGAACACCAAGAGCCACAAGGATTATTGGACCCGGAGGGCTTTCAGCTTGTGAGAACAACGAGCTAATTAAAGTCTAAACGAACTGAATGTCCTTCTAGCTTAAGTAAAGCTAAATAAATAAATGCCTATGCGGTGTTCTGGAGAACTGAATAAAGAGGAAAATATTCTATGTCCTATTTGCCTGGTAGTGTCTCTTTAATTGTAGAAGAGGGTGGTCTTTGCCTAGACATTGCAAATATATTCAAATGTACAGTTCTTTTTTAATCTGTTTTTTTAATAGGAGGGGTTCAGCAAAGGTAATAAAAAGTATACGTTTTCTTCGTATTTTTCAAATTGGTAGTTTTAAAAATCCCAGTTTGTATTTTTATCACCTCTCTTTAGCTACTGCGTTTGTCTCATTGGCAAGCTGTACTTCTGCCCACACGCTTGTACTTTGCACACAGCTCTTAGTAAAGGTGGTGTACGTTTTGTTTGCAGACCTATGAGACACTATATACTAGTAATGCTTCACTTCAGTGCATCTTCAGTCATGAGTACCATCTTAGCCTTCCAGTTCTTATGTAGTGATGCAAACGTGGTGTGAATAAGAAAACAGATAGGGGCACTTCAAAAAAAAAAAGCCATCTCATATTAGTGATTTGTTTCCTTTCAAATTTATATGGGCCACCTTTTTTTTTTCAATTTTGTTACTATACTTTGGCTAAATACATATTTAGGCAGCTATACACAAGACAGCTCTTTGAGAGTGAGTTTATATTTAAGAGTCACGTGTAAGGGGTATTAAGACTATATGTGTTTAAAGTGAAGCACTGAAATATTTTGCTGAAATGGGAGCTAGAAGGATTCCAATTTGGGAAGGACTGAGCAGTCACAGCTCTCATCAAAACCAGAGATGAGGATCCTTGAGAAATCAGGTTCCCAAATAGAAATTTGAGTCTCTGTAGGCACCCATTTTGAGAAAATTTAGCCACCAAGTTAAATCTCAATTATTTTTTGTGTTGTATCGTTTTAATGTTGTAAAGATTAATTCCTGGTTGTATATGTATCATATACTAAACATATTTAAATTGTAATTCCTTTAAGAAAATGCTACATGATAGGAAAAGAAATAACAAAAAAAAAAGCAGACACAGCCGAATGAGTAGAGAAAGAATGTTTTTCCGCTTATTATACAAGCAGGACTGTAAAGGAAATCTATCATTATAAGCTATATAAAAAGAGTGATTTTAAGAGTGACTTCTCCATCTTTGAGAATTCATAGCATTTTCCTGTTACCTTGATCCTCATCTGCACATTTGCTTGAAAGTGAACCTAAGGTAAGTTTTTACGGAGCTATCTAGCATAGTTTAAACAGGAATAACACCATAAACATGTCCTAATCATGAAACAAGGGCAGTAATGTCTTAGCAAGCTGCATACAGTTAGTCAGTGCTCGTTTCTGTCATTGAGAGCCAGCAAATATGGTGCAAAAACTGATGAATGCATTTTTTAATTCTGGTCAAAACTAAGAAGAAACGCTTAGATGAGTGAAAAGAGTGAGCTGATGATGATTAAAAGGAAAAGCAAACAATCTCTTGGTAGACAGGGGATGTGCAAGCTCTCAAGATTATTAAATGAAAAATAGGCCAGCTTCAGCCTTTGTCTGAATCATCTGACCTTAATCTGTTGTGGGAGAAATTAAAACTTAGTCTGTTCGGATGAACTCAGCATACTGGCCGGCTTCTAACTCTGCTAACTGCATTCTCCCTGACTCCATACTCTGCAAAAAATGTGGGCACTACATTGTTCGTTGTTCTTGTTCCGGTCAGCTTCTATATTCCACCACTGGTAGATGAAATAGTTTCTAAAGAAACTGTGTATTAAATGTGTAAGTGGATTAACACCCTGATTGTCAGCATCTAGATACCTTGCAATCATAGGCCAGGATCTGTCCCTAGTGTTAGTTACATGGAGTCTGACTTGCAATTTATGTAATACATAGATTCAAGGAGGTAACTCTGAGCGCTGCAGCACTTTGTAACCTTTCAGCCTGAAAACTATGTGAACCCAAGAGAGGTCCTGTTTTAATTTTGGAAATGCTCTAAGTACTTCTAACTCTTGTTGCAACATGAGCACCTGAGCAAATGCTCATTTTTACTGTAATATTGAAGGGCCACTTTCAGTAGTTTCTTTCAGTTTCCATTGAAGACGGAAGAATCATGAAGATATGTTCATATAATCATTATACAGCACAGAATAAAAGTTTTGGGTGAAGTCCCATCCATCTCATGTGTTTGTTTAATTTCAGCCATCTAGATGCCCGATGAAGCAGTCTTCCTAAAAAGTACCTGTCTAGATTTCATATGTAAGTGATAGACAGAGATAGGTGCTTTGGAAGGCTTCCCTGCTGATACCCTGCCTGCTATATTTTTGGCATCCAAGTTAGATGACCATCAGCCTTCTGGAGGCTATAAAGGTATTTTCTTCCCCCTTAGACGCTGCATTTACCAGATTTAAAACAGAGGTGCAGGCTTATGCCTCATATGGGCTGTATCCAATCACTTCTTTTTTATAAAAAAGCAATTTTTCACACTGCATTTTATTTTCTCCATATATTAGCATAATGAATTTACTCTTCTAGAGCACAGCTGGGGAGGTTTTCATCAGATGTTAGTGCGCAAAAGGGACAAATTCAGCCCATAACAAAACCAACTTCAGTCTGGTTTTGTGCTTTTAGTGTCTGTCAGGTTACTGATGTTGCTGAGAGAACAGTTGCCTGCCGGTAGAGGGCATGCAGCTCCTCAGTTTTCCCTGCTAAAATGTGTGTGGAACAGGGAGAAACTACTTTTTCTAGTGGAGTCTACATAAATATGTAGTTACATATAATGAATTGGGGATCTCTACATTTAAATGGGGTACTAGAAGTATAACTTTAGTGGAAAAATTGGACTCTCCCCAAGCATCCTGCATGTCCCTCCACAAAAGAAAATTGATAACTTTATGCAGAGATCATTGAAGCCCCTCTGGGACACCTGTCCAGTAAGAACATGCTGTGGCTGTTCGTGCTCTTTAACGATCGTCTATTTTCATTTGTGTCTCTCCATTTCCAGAGCTCCCAGCACAGTGGCTCCTCTACCTCATTAGCATCCACCAAAGTTTGCAGCTCTATGGATGAAAATGATGGACCTGCAGAAGGTAACACTGGAAGGCTGGCATTTCAAAGCAGTCAATGTAGTGATAACAGCAGCTGTGTAGGAGATGCGTCATTCTTGCTGCCAGAGAAGGTGGGAGCACTGCAGGCAGGATGACTTTCCATTAGAAGGCTCGTCAGTCTGAGTGAACCAGTTCAAGTTCACTCCAGATCAGATTTGATCTGTATTTGGGCATCCCTATTCAGAAATGTTTCTGGCGTCCCACGCTCTGGATATTAGTTGTATGGGTGACACAGCACTGACTGGATTATTTCACTAATTTTTTGTCCCATCCGTCATGATAGTAGAGAACATGGTGCTGCCCTGAGTCCCTACTCAGAAATGACTAGGCTCACCACATACTAAGGCTTCCAACAAGTTGGCTAAGGGATAGTGTCGGCTCTAATATTGCCACTTCACATGCACATACACGTAAGTGTGTGTGTATGTTCCTGTCTGACAGTAATTCTTCATGCGCCTATGAATGCAAGCAAACCCCAGCCTCCATATGTCATAACGTTCGCTTTCAATACTAAACTGGAACAAAGGACAGATACGGATATAGTTGAAAGGTGTTGTCTTGAAAAGTGTAAATTTAAGTCACGTCTTTGAGAGGCATTTTTTTATGTTAACGATATTTATATAGTTTGTATCAGCTGAAGTTTACAGTCAGCCTTTAGAGGCATGTTAGATATTTGTAACACACTATTTCAAATATGTTTAAAAAATAATGGTACATGAGTGAGCACTAAAACACATGAAACTGCAAACTTTTCTTATGCTTAGACACTGTGTAATGCAATTTTACCTAAACATCTGGTGCCCAGGTTGCATGTGAGGTAGTATTATTGAGAACATTTGTTTAAAAACTAAATATTTAATATTGGGGGAAGGGGAGAACTAGCACTTAGCACATGAGGAGTTTTATGGATGTCTCAGTTTACAGGATGTAATAAAATAAGTGCTTGAGTGTTGGACTTCTTTGGTACATATATTTAATCATGCTGTGTCAAGGAGTTCCAACCCTTTTTGGAGGCTGGTCTGCGCTTGTGCAGATCACAGAGGCCTTTTCATAATTAAAAAAATACAATTTTGGTTTTATCCTGGGGGCATATTGCAACAGGAGTGGTAAACTATGTAACACTCAAATGGTGGTATGTTTGAGCCCCCAGAAGTCTTATTTTTCATTGTTGTATCTGTGTGAAACCTGTTGAGTATATACAATGTCAGCAGCATGGTTTCAGTGTACAGTAAGTGAGATACTGACTCTGAATGGTTTCCAGGCTCCTAAACCATAGACTTAAAATGCATGTTATGTGCAACATCTGTGTTTCCTTCACTAACAATAAAAATGTACTAATGATTCTTTCAGAAGTGTTGGAGGAAGGCTTCCAGGTTCCAGCATCAATAGCAGAGCGATATAAAGTTGGAAGGACTATAGGAGATGGAAATTTTGCTATTGTGAAGGAGTGTATAGAAAGGTGAGAAGGATAATTTGCTTATTACTGTAAAAGCTATCACTAATGTCATGCTTTTCTAGATCATGTCTTTATTTGTAGAATATAGGACATGTGGAATAAGGTAATGTCTCAATGCCAGATGGAAAAATTAGACTAATATCTTCTCCTGTGAAAAAGGAATGATTCCAAAGGACAATATATGAATTTAATTCTTTGTGGGTTTTATATGTTTTTCTGCTGTGCTCAGCATGGTTTTACCAGTTCTTTGTGTTAAATCTTTCCTTTTGCACTGAAATAACATTTTTTTCTTGCAGTATATTCTTGTAACATGCTCTCTTGCTCTTTGTTCTAGACAGGTGAGACATTTTACATCTAAGAGCATTCTTGTAAAGATGTCAAGAAGTTTTATGTGTAGTGTAGTAGTGGTGGTGGAAAGCACCAAAAGGTGGCTTTAGATCCATCTATTCTACCATCTAATGTGGAGCAGTTACCTCTTCTATGTTTGTCTCTAACAAAATGTGCGTCTGTCTCCTGCTTGCTTGCTTTATACCAATATATGAGCCCTACCTAAGTTTAGGAGCGTGGAGTGTAGGCATCAAAATCTTTGGGTGCCTGTGAAGAGTGGAGAAACAGTCATGCTTGAAGAGAATCTATCAAACTGATTTGAGACATTGACTCTAGGTTAGAGAGTACTCCTGTAACGTCTGTGTCACTGGAAGTGTCCCGATTGACTAGCTCAGGTGTCAGTTTCTTAATTTTTTCAGATTAGTGAAAAAACCTACCCTATTTGAACTGGCTCAACCCAGCCTTAAAGGTGTGAAAAGGAGGGGAACAAAAGACAAAACTGCTCTGAGCAGAAATACAACTGCCTTTTGGTGGTATTGTTGAAAAATAAGGGAATATGGTGTAAAAAAGACAGAGAGAAGATACTATCCGAAATGATTATGAGACTGTTCATGTTAGATGGTAGCACTACAGAGAAGGCAAAAAGCAGCCAGAACTAGAGATGTCCAAAGTGAAGAACCATAGAGAGGCCAAGATCTGATCATGAAATGCCCTATATGAAGTTTCACATCCCATGTTGCCATATCCCAGAGGGGGGGAATCTTATAGGAGACTGTAATCTCACCTTTGGGCTTGAAAAAAAAAAAAAAATTGGTCTCCAGCCATGAAGAATGTGATATTAATCCTAGAGACTAAGTCAAGAACAGAACTCATGGCAGATGATGATAAATTAGCTTGGCTAGTTTTAAACTAGAGTCTCTTTGGAAAAAAACAGGTCCCACTCTGGATCTAAACAAGTCTGGCGTGCCAGAGACCATTAAGACAGCTGTTGGGGAAAGGGGGAAGAGTGAATTTTGTATCAGCTGAGAGTGTGCTGGTGGGACTTGGCCAAAACTATTGTGAGGCCTTCAGAGCTCTTTCTGGGGGAGTTTATGGTGGGGATGATCATGGAAAAGGCAATAGCTCTTCAGATCAAACTAGAGTTTGAACACTAAACTGGAGAATATAGAAACGAAAGGAAATCACAGCAAAACAGTATGAAAATAAAAGAGCACAGTAAAGACCTTTGGGGTAGGAAGGGAGGAGAGACAGTTGGAAAACATGAAAGAGAATGTATAAATCAGAAAAGAGAAAAAGATAAGCTAAAAAACAGAGTACATGCGGAGAGAAACATTACGTGGCTGAATAGTACTTCAAGGTTTTGATACACTGCACTTTGATTAAAAATTCTGGTTGTACCGAGAACTAGTTTAAATGTGGTAGTGTGCTTTACAAGTGTTTCTAAAGTTGAGGGAAAAGATATGAACAAAATTAAATATAGGACACACCATACTTTAAAAATCTACTGATTATAATTTCCTAGACATCTGAAATGAAAACTATTTCCTGTCCTCTTCCCTATCCTCCTTGGTCCCTTAAATATTTGATAATGTGATGTATCTAGTGACTATATGCTCAAATAGCCTTATTACTCAGAAATTCCCAAGTAAATACTCTCATGATCTGTGAGCCACATCATTCTGTAGCTCACATTTATATCAGAGATCACTGCTTGGGAGTGTTTGAAAATTAAAACAGTGTGGAATTATTTCTCTCAGTTTCCACTTCTAAAGCTGCATACTCTTGCCGTCACAGGTGTAGAAGGAGAAATTAAAGCTCGGAGAGTAAATTAAAGGCAGTAAACGTAAAACACCTTTGAAAACATTTTTAACAGTCTTTCTAAGTGAAAAACAGCACTTCAAAGTCTGATATGTCCATCACTGACAGAGCCAGATTTGATGGGGTGATACTTTGGACAGAGGACTTTTCCACTTTCTACTGATGTGCAGTTCCTATGTGTATTAGACTTCAAAAGAATAGCACTGTGAGGTGTTGAGCCACTGGGAATGCGTTTGGTTACGCATCTTCATTGATCACACGGATACTTCTCCATAGCTGTAGAGACCAGCCAGTATGCACTGGTTAGCCACTTTGACGCTGCAGGTGCATCCACAGGCATTCCTCTGACAATGTGTAGTACAAATAGAAACCAAACTGGTCTTCAAAATTTTCATGTGGCGACTTCTAACTATCCTTTGTGTGCCCCCCCCCACTCGCACACATACCCACATACACATTTAATACACATCCAAAAATAATGAAGATAGTTTTCTTCTCTTGTACATTGGGAATCTCAGAGAACTTTGCAAAAGGTTAAAATATCCAAGGAGTGGGTCACAAAGACCCTCTATGAACTTGAGGTCTAAATGTTGTACTGTATGGTAGTTTTGTTGTTATACAATTTTATCCAGCACTAATTTGTGCTTCCTACTTTTTGTGGCACCTTTTTATTGTTCCGTTTAAATGGTAGGTGAGAGACGATATGACCGTTTCACTGTGGGTTTCTGGCATTGCTGTATTTTGTAGTGGGTTTGTAAGTTACCGAGGTTCCAGTGTTGCTGACAGCCTGCGGTTCTGCAGCTTTTTAGGGGAAAGGATTTGCATTATCTTACCTTTAATTTTCTTTTTACCAAAACAAAGAGCAGTCAGAGCTGTCATCTGCTTGTTACATATCTGCTCTATCGTAAGCACAATTTGTCCTGCAGTGGTTTTGTATGTGTTCGTTCTTAACTTTCAGATACTTCCAAATTCTGACATTTCCTCACTAGCTCATGTTTCCCAGTGTTTTGGAGTACATGGAGTCTCCCATGGCCAACATCAATTTCCTTTCTTGTAACAGAAAGGAAGCATTCCTAGGGCAACCAAAGAGCTTGAATGAAACTCCCATTGAAAGAGAACATATTTTGTCTGAGTTTGAACCCCAGCTATCTTAATTTCTAATATTCCTTCCCCTACCTCACCCTTCCATTCCCCCCAAAAAGTGCTGGTATCTCTGCCTGTCACCTCATTGAGCAGGAGCTGCACCAGGCAAACACCAGCACCTGAAAGGGGTGCTCCTCATGAAGTGTAGTGCTTTTCTGGGAACTGTAGCATTAAACCCTTTAGTCAGGAAGAAGAAATAAGAGAAGTTTTTATTTTTTATTTGCTTAAGTCCTAAACTGTCATGTTATATTTTTTTCCATGTTGTAAACCTCATGATTTAACGCAATTTCTTTCCACAATCTTTTAATTGAAATCTTAATACAGACTATCTTCGATCCCTGCTGACCTGGGAATTTTTTTTTCTTTTACCAAAATCCCCATCGATCCTTAAATTAATACCTAGTGGTATATCGTTGCTAGAAGACATCTCCATGCTTAAATATGTCTATGAAGATGCCCAGTCATTTTCCTCATGCAGTGTTTTCAGTGTATGACTCACTTTACATTTCCCGCTTGACAAGCTGTGCACACTTTTAGGCATTAGGCAGCACATTCACACAGCATTCTCTATTTAACTTATTATATATCAATTTAAAAAATAAAGATATTACGTATCAATTTAACTATTCTACCAAATAAAGAATGAAAAAAAAATTAACTGATCCTTGGAGGGGGTCATTTTTTCTTCTGCTTTCAAGCAATCATATGCCTAATGGCATCACAGTAACTTTCATAAACTGTTTTAGATATTAATTACAAAAGGAATGCATTTTCGTAAGAGCTTTTTCTTACATTGCCCATCCTCTATTTCACTTTGTAGTGAAACTAGAGCTTTTGAGCTTGTGAATGGAGTGTCTTGGGTTTGTCCTTGCAGCCATGTAATGGTTATGTAAATTGATTAAGAAATGGAAGTTTATATCCTGAATTTGTCTACAAGCTGAGTTTTCTATGTTAGTATCCTATAATAAATATCTATATTTCTAGTACTGATAGATATTATATGGTTTCCAAAGAAAACACCTAAAGGGAAAAGTGTTCTCATCCTGAACTAATTCTCTAAAATTTCTTACTATCTCCAGAACCTTTCTTATTCTGTCCCATAAATATATTTAACTGCTAGATATCACATACTTGTTGAATACATAAAAATAGTCCAAGGACTGACTTTTAGCTTAAGACTTGTGCATGCAGATGTGCAAACAAATGACTTTTTGTTTTAAATAAAAAATAAAAGTGTTTTCCATGGCTCATATTTTTTGCTTGATAGGAAACAAAACTCTTCATTTTTGAGAAGACTGGGATCTCTAAATACTATGTTATATTTTTAGACAAAACTGCAGAAGAAATAACAAATACCACTTTAAAATGAAAAAAATCAAATGATTTCACTTATAAAAGACTGGAATGTCTCTGTTTTTCCAAAACATATTTAATGTTTTTTTCTCAAGCACAAGTATTCAATAAATTTGGCTGCAGATCACAAGCCATTTCAGTCAAATCCAAGCTTCATTTCTTGACAAAACAAATACTTGAACAGAATTCTTGCCCAGACCTAGTCATTAGTACTGTGCTCAAATGACAAATACAAACTCGACTGAGAAAAATATTCAGTGATGTGATTGAACATACCATTTTTTCTTTCCTCTTTCCTCAGATCAACTGGTAGAGAATATGCTCTGAAAATAATCAAAAAAAGTAAATGTAGAGGAAAAGTAAGTACAAAAAATTCAAATGAGAGCAAAACATTTATTTTTCAAGAAATATTTGAGAGACAAGATCAGTTTGGGAATCTATTGGTATTTATCTCCTTCCTGGCGAGTGTCAGAATCTTTTTGGTTGAAGCCTTTGTCTGCCTCATGAGACCCTCAGAGTATCGATTTAGGTACTTTCTAAATTAGGTACTTTTCTAACTGAAGAATGCCTTTCAGGATGCATGTATTGTTTCTCCATTTGGTTAGCTGTGTGCAGGTGCATTCACCCTTCTTTCTCTTTACCCTTGTAATTATGTCCTCTAGCTTTCCTAACCCCAAATGCTATAGAACACAGCAACATAATACTAGATAATTCTAGCAACACTGGTCAGTGTATCTAATCAGTATCACGAGGTTAATCAAGTTGTTGTCAGTTTTATACTAATTGAATTTGTTTTAGCTTTTAAAATTTTAAAAGGTTCTTTGAGAAGGTGCAATTGTATTTGTAAATGCTTTGGAAAGGTTTTGCATGGGACAAAAAAATTATAAAGCTTCCATAATTTACTCTTCTCTGCATCAGAAATATGTCCGTTTTCCTACATTTTTTTTCTGTATTCTGTTCTCTGTTGTTTTTTCAGTTATCACACTGATGTTGTCTCTAGGCATGTTCCTTCCATATTGCTGGAGGCAACGTCTGTAACCTTTTTAAAAAATCTTGAAGAATCCATGCAAGTCCCAATTCTCTCTGCCTTTTCCATTGCACAATGGAGGTGAAAGTTTTTCCCACCAATCCATAGTCATTAAAGATTTCTCTTCTGTGGCAGGAACACATGATCCAGAATGAGGTATCTATTTTAAGACGAGTGAAACATCCCAATATTGTGCTTCTGATTGAGGAGATGGACATGCCAACTGAATTGTACCTGGTCATGGAACTTGTGAAGGTAGGCATTTTGGAGATAAGCTGCTGATTAAGAATTGTTTCAAACATGTTTAGAAATGTCATTGATACTAAAACTTACTAAAATCATAGAATTAGGAAATAGTTGGGATTGGAAGGGATCTCTGAAGGTCACCTTGTCCAGTTCCCTGCTGAAAGATGTGGGAACCATAGCCAGTTAGTCTTCTCGCTTTCAAACATTTCAAATATTCATCTAACCTTTTGTAAACCACATTCAGAAGTGCTCTGTGGACACTGCTTTGGATACCATCAGTTTTATTTGCACCAAAAGAAATTCTGATAAATAAAGTTTTAACTCAAAAAATGCTTTTGCCTTTAGATGAGTTGAAAGAACCCCCAATATGAGTAGCTGTAAATACTGGTCTTCAAAATTCAATATTCTTTGATAACAAATACGGCTACTCTGATAACAAATTTGAAATTACATTTTATTAGTTTATGTTAGATTAAAACCGTATTAGCTGTATTCTTTCCCTGCTAATTTGTACTGACTTGTTGTCAGGTTTCCATTCTTGATATAATCTAAATTTAAGCTAGAGGATGAGGAGAAGAGGAAAAGAGAAAAATCTGCTATTTAACGCATGGGTCTATTCTGAAAAGTAAAATTATATATGCCATGTTTTGTATTTGGGGTCCTATTTATTTCTTCAGAGTAACTTCCAGCTCTCATGAATTAATTTCATTAATCCAAACTGGATTGTGAAACTCAAACCAGGTTGTCTCTTGCTCCCATACTGTCAAAAGTACACAAGTATGTTACTGTGCATAACAGATGGTAAAAATACATTTGAGTAAATTATCCAAAAATTATCCAAATTAGGACAGAAAACCACTATAGAAATTTTGTCCACCAAATTATTTTAACAGAATACGCCTGTTTTTCATGTTTATTTATGGAAGTAGTGATTCTTCTTCTTCAGCTATTGTGCAGGAAGAACATCTTTCCAGCAGTCACCTTCATTCTTGTATCCTGATCAACAAGCTCTCCCTGGGCAGCCTTTCAGACGTATGCCTGAGAAATCCTCTGATTTAAGTGTTTAAGGACAAATTTTGCAATATGGAAACTCAAGCTGTGCAGTAGCATTTGTGTGCAGGCATGTTGTATGCGCACATCTAACACGTGTGACTAAATCAGGCTCTCTAAACTCTGAAACCCAGATCAGTTCCAGCTATCTTAAATCAAAAGCATAGTCCCCTCCGGTGGGCATCCTCTGTGAACAGTGCTGAGAAAAAGGCACAACCAGAGGTGGTGAGAAAAAGAGGCAGAACTGCTCTGTGCAGTGCTTCACGTTGGCTGTAGGTGGTGATTAGGGAATGCTCTTACTTTAGGAACCTTGTTGAGGTATGAGATGTTAGATAGGATGATTCCAGGTCAGTGTTTCTTAAAGAGCTTTTCAAGCTTGATGGGAATAGGAGGGCAAGGAGAATTAAAGGTGATGCGTTCGGTCTATGAGCCCCTGTGCTCTCTGGCAGCAGTGATGACACAACCTGTGTTCCCAGCGCAGAGCTGTCCTTCCCTGCTCTCTGCGACGCTGCTGTGCTGTACAGGAGAGGGAGGCTGTCAAGTGGGGCCCATGGGTGGATGGCCACAGATTTTCCCTGTCCCCATGGCAGGCTCAGACAGCGTTGTTATACTTGAGAGGCTCAGGCTACGCTCCACAGCTAAGGAAACAGCAACGTTATCCTCTTAGCTTAAGCCTACCTAGTGCGCTATTTGGCTTGAGTCAAAGTTGAGTCATGGAGTTAATGCTCCAGCTAACCCTGCTGTCTGCTGCCACTGAGCTGCGGGGAAGCCTACTGGGTCCCTCTTGCATGTTGATGGCAAAGAGCGCACAGGGTACTTGGCATCCCTGTTTATCTCAGCACAGTCTCAGAATGAGAAGTTAAATCCTAAGAAGAAAGCAAAGTAATGGCTCTCTTCCACTCTGTGAGTCCCTCTCCGTAGCTGGCCCCGGAGGAACTGTCCCACCTTCGTCATAGTCACAGCCCTCCCTGGCACCTGGGAGTGCAGTGTGAATTAGCACAGCGTTAGATCAAGTACCAGGAGCCATTTAACCCTGTTTTAATCATAAAACCTGCCGTTTTATATGACATGAGCTCACTCTGAAATCCATGCTGCTGTAGGTTTTTTTCAGTATCCAGGGTAACTTGTTTAAAGGTACATCAAGTACTTTTTTGCAGTATATTGCAGTCTGTAATGAAGCCACAGCTTCAGCTTGTATTGACAAATCCTTCATCTTGGCCCCATGAGGTGTGCTAAGAAGTAAAAACTGTGACTTAAGCACATAGCTGATTTTATGGGTGCAACCTGCTGTGCCATTTATGCTTGAAAAATGCTCAGACTGTAAGTTTCTGGTAGATTTTTAATCAAAGTCCTACTCAGCTAAATAAGAGGGGAGAAGACTAAAAACTCTTATGAAACAACTAGCCTAATATATAAAGAAAACCATCCATTTTAGTCACTTCCTGGAAAAAATGTTTTCTCCCACTCTTTCTCCTTCACTCTTCAGAATCACTGCAAATACTAAGATATTTATGGTTTCAGTTATGCTGTAGAAGGCTTCTCAAGACATCTGTGTAGTGAAGATATAGAAAGCATTGATTTCATAAGTTCTCTAGTTTTATATGGAATAATAGAAGAAATTTAGAAGAAATATCCTAATCCTGGGAAGTTAACTTTGCTTCTGTGAAATCAACATCTATATTAATTGGAAAAAGGTGTTGTTATACTCCGTGGGTACCGAGGAAGGTAGTTCTGGAAAGACATTAATTGTTAATTCACCAATTGCTGCCTGTTACCATTTCACAGCATGCACTGTTAGATTTGATTAACCATCTGTTATTGACTGACTTCTGAAGAACCGAGTTTAAATCAACCTCACAGACAGGAAAGAAATTCAAGAAGAAAAGGCTTGATGCTGCAGAGCACGGTTTCAGTTAATACCACCCTGCATTAATTGGCAGTAACACGCTTGACATAAGTGGCTGTTGCAAATACTGCCCTCACCTCATGGCAGATAGGCCATTCATTGCTTTGTAAAGTGTAAGAAAAAGCACTTCATAAATACAAATATAAACACATTGCAAGCGGTGCTTGTAAAAGGAAGCAAGGACCTGGTCTCTGGCACACTGCCTTTTTACACAGCGAAACAAAATTGTTATTCAAACCTAACAGGGGTTTGGCCAATTTAACAAGCAAGATTTATTACAGAGTTTCCTTTACTGCTCCAGGATATGATTTCACTTTTGCAGAAGAAAAGCAAGATTATATCATTTACATAACAAGGTAATAAATAAATAATTGGTTACTGTATCAAGTATACTTCCTCATGTGCACAGATGATAAAAAACTGCATTCAGGTGTCGCTGGTCTGATTTCACTCCAGAACAGGGGGATTTAAGACTGAAATGTCAACCTAAACTCACCCCTTGTGCCTAAATAAATGATAGTGACCTGCTGTGTGAGTCAGCTAAGCAGATTCTTGTAGGTTAAAGTGCTCTTTAGGGAAAGGAAAGTCTGAAAACAATTCTACCTGATATAGTTGTCAGCTATATTAACTCCTTCCAGGGTATCACTTTTCTTTTAACTGCAGAGAATCCTGTAGTCTAAGTATATGCTCTTTTTACTTACCAGACTATCTGGAAAGGAACTTTGCTGAATAAAGTAGACTACTTAATGTGAGAAAATGATTCTGCTTCAGTTTAACTTGACTTTCTGTTAATGTACTCTGTGTCCTTTATCTTTTCCTGAGTTTAGATTTCTTTTGCCCAGGAATATTTGTTCTCTTTCTTCTGACTTTAGGCTGAATTTTTTTCCTACTTTTTTTGGTTTTAAGATTCATCATCTTGCTTTCTTTACCATTACATCTCAGCTCAGATTGTTTTCCTTTTTTTTTGAGGCAGATCCTTTGCTGATGTTATTGACACTTCTGCTGAGCATCTGGAACATATTAGATAAGAGCAAAGATCTGTCTTAACTCACTACCTCATGTTAAAAAGCAGCTGGTACAGGGGCTTCAGAGGAAGGAGCTTAAGGAAGATAGATTATTTATCCCACATATTTTGCCACATGCTGATATCTGATATTTAGGGATCAGTTAATGCCATGAAGTACTTGGTATTATACCTCTTTCCAAATATTTGGCCTTTCCCTCTTATCCTCTCTCTGGTTTAGCTTGGCCTTTTCTTCCTCCTTTTCCTTGACACTGTGTACCTTGAGGTATCTTGATCAGTCACCAGCCAGAGCAGAAAGTTTTGATGTGGTCCAGATTTCACAGGGATTGTCTGCAAGGAGCTTCCAAAGCTGGACTTTTGCACCAACAGTGGGAATAAACCTGCGCTGGCAGTTTGCTGCGCAACTTCAGCTGCATCTTACCAATGTGTTTTTTTTTTAATAGCTATTAATTCTTTTAACAAGTGCTACCTATTTCTTTAGGTTTGAGCCTTTAGTGGTCATATTTTCCTACCTTTTCCATCTGTGTGAAAACAGTGTCTTACTCAGGAGCTGAACTTGAAAAAACCCATCAAATATCCTGAGACTGTTGATAAAATCATGAGAGTTGTCAAAGCTGAGACTCCTCTGTCACCTTCAGAAAATACTTACTTTTCCTTTAAAATACGCTCCTGTGATGTATATTGTCTCTTGGTGCTGTGACTGCAACAGTTTGTTTTTGCAGAAAACTTTTCTTCTTTTTTTGTTGGTCTGCGATTCCTTTAAGGTGCTGCTTTGGTTCTGGCCTAAAGCCCAGTACCTCTGAGTAGTATCTCTCAAAAGATGGGCCTTTTTTCCCCCTCTGTTCTATTAGATTCCTCCTTAATCTCTTCTTTAAACTATTTTTTTAGTCTTTCTCCAAACACTTAAATGTTCTTCATCTCTCCACTTGCCAGCGGAGCTCTGGCAACATAGTCCAAATATGATGGGTGATGGGTGCCTTGGATCATAGCACACAAAATCATTTCACTTTTGAGGACTTGCATTCCCTTCCTTCCTTCCTTCCTTCCTTCCTTCCTTCCTTTATTTCTTTCTTTTTTAATGTTTTCTCTTAACAGGCAGTAGTTTTAGTTGAATTGAACAGCATGAGGATCTGGAAATGGCACAGGTAGCCACCTGTATTTGCAGCTGTGGTGAAACAGTGATGTTAATTCTTGGGTGTCTTCAGTATGATTTTGTATCATATATGCTGGAGAGATCTTCAGCATTAGCTTTAAGTAGAACCTCACATTACTGAAAACCTGGCATCTTGTGTGGAGAAGCAGTTTCTAAAATCCGTATTTCAAAGTTTTACGAGATGAAAACAGTCTTTTAAAATACACTAGCAGTGATGACAGGTAGCTGTTTTGAGTTTTATTCAGAAATTCTTAATCTTTGTGGAGTTGTCAGATTTTGGGCAAAAATTTGAAGTCAGTCTATTTGTGATTATAATAAACAGTGATGAGGCTTGGTATCCAGCATGGTGACAGGCAAGTATGTAGGCATGCCAGAACTTTGCAAGACGGGCTCCGAACGCACAGGTTGGCAAGTACTGCCAAATGTTACAAAAGCGGCAGAAGGGAACAGTTTGCAAGAGAAACTCAGCCTCTTGGCTGACCAGCTAAACCATGACAAATGATTCTGAATTAGTGTTATGTAGCTTTCATTAGGGGACATGTCATCACAGTACCCAAAGTTTATAGCTGGAAGGAAACTGTGCTGCTCCTCCCTCCTCCTGTTCCTCCATGCTCCTTGATCTTCCCCAAATTTTTCAAGTCACTTCACAAGTAAATGTTCCTCATGTGCCGTGGTCATTTTTACTCCAGGGAGGAGATCTTTTTGATGCTATTACTTCCACCAACAAATACACAGAGCGGGATGCCAGTGGGATGCTTTACAATCTGGCCAGTGCCATCAAGTATCTTCACAGCTTGAACATTGTTCACAGGGATATCAAGCCTGAGAATCTACTGGTAAGTGAAAATTCAGCTTTCGGTATTGTTCTTGCTAGCTTGGGAGTGCATGAGAGAGTATCTGGGCTCCTTCCTCCTTCCTCACCACCCCTTCAGGTTTATTTCAGTCTTCTAAGTCATTGGTCTTTTGATTTTAACCTTACCATTGTAAAACTCCTCCGAAGAATAACAGCTATCACAAAAACAAAACAAAGCCTCAAATGCTAAGTGTAGTCTGCTCCCTGGGACACAGGGGCAGAATTGTTGCAGTGGTCGCTAGAGGTGATCTTTTACTGTGCTGAAACAGAATTCCAGGCTTCTCATAAACGTAAAGGTGCTGTGTCCCCTGTTGGACTAATCTGTACCTCTGCAGTGCAGCACAGTTCCTTAAGTAATTAGCAGCAGTTCAATTTTACAAACAGAGTGGGTGTAAGTAATGGACCTTTATCATGCAGAGTATCTGGGCAGAACCAGGAAGAGAACTTTAGAGTCCTTCCTGTCCCTGCTACATCTCCCAAATAATGCTATAGCACTTTCTATTTAGGTCCTTTTCTTGGTAGACAGCTTAGATCTCCCTTTCATGTTTGAATCTATTTGAGCCCCATCCAATGAAGACATTGAAAAAAATCCCCTGACAATCCCTTCTTCTGGGGATTTTGCACCCTTGAATGCAGCCATTGTGCTCTCCAAATGACTCACTTTTGTTTCTCCTAAGAAATTAATTTCTCCTAATTATTTCACTGTTCTCTGAGTTTTCCCTACTTTGCTGACTTGTTCTAGTATCCAGATGTCGCAGTTACTGCATGTTCTGCAACCATGCAACAATGTTTAAGATGTCTAGAATACCAGTTCTCTCATCTGTGTGCTGTCCGCCATGACTTAGTGCATTTAGTAGTGCCTCATATTGAAGAGGTGTTACGGGAAAGCTGACTCAAGCAGTAATTAAAAAAATAAAGTTCTTAATGAACTTCCAGGGAATGCGATTTTTACTGTTGAGATTTCTCTGGTGACAGGTATCTGTATAGTTCTGGTGCGGAAGCAGTTGTTGCTGGCCTGGTTTTCCAGAAACTGCTAAAAAACATGTTGGGTGGAACACTCATTAGACACCAACCACTTATACCCTATGGCAGCCTTCATGCTGGTGTTCTTAGGTGGCTGCATGCATAAGTTAACAGCAATCACGTCAGGATTCATTAACTCTGTGACACGGAAAGTGCAGGACTGTCTCGGGGGGAGGCTTACCCTGCTTTTGTCTTGAAATGTCTCTAAATGCCTGAAGTCTGACAGTAGTAGACAAGCTTTTGGGGGAAGGGAAGAAGGTGAGGCTGGTGAGGGGAGCGTTAAATTTACCTACCCACCCGTCTGTGGTAATACTCACTGGTCTACATAAACAAACACGTTGTTTTGCATTGTAGCCGAATTGTTTCCAAATGATGTTTCCGGTGTAGTGCACATGTAAAGGTCATGTATTACTGTTGATGCTAAGCAATAAATATACAGCACTGAACTGCTTGCAGTGTCCTAACTTTCAAAAGTTAGTATTTGATTCACAAATGATATTCATCCTCTGAGGTTTATCAAGTCTTTGCCAGAAGTGAACACTGTTTTAGGGAGAGTGCTTTTGAACCAGCCTTACCTGAGTTTTGATCCCATCTCTGACACTGACTGTTTGTGGCTTTAGGTGTCTCTTGACCTTTCTATTTCAATCCTCCTGTCTGTTAACTGGGATGGTTCTTCCTTATGTCACAAGACTACAATTAGGGTTATTTTCCTGGCATTTATAAAACACTTGAAAAATGTTGTAGAGGCCTTGGCCTTTCTGTTGCCAGGGGCCTTCTACTTGCAAATCAGCAGCCTGCCTTTTGCTGGCTGCTCTATAACCCTTTGCCTAAGCTGTCAGGGCACTATTTTTCCCTTGTTCGCATGCTGCTGGTTTCATGTGCTTGTGTTCTCAGGGCCTTGCACCTGCAAACCCTAGCAGTGTTAGGGCACGTTCGCCTGGGAAGAGATTGCCACCGGCGAGAGAATCAGCCCTTCCTCCCGCCACCCTCTTCCTACCCCTCGGTTGTAGCTTTTGGGTTCCAGGAGGGGAGCCAGGACCAGGCCCACACAAAGCTTAACAACCAACCAGCAGGCAACACCTGCCCCCATCAACGCATGCCCCCCGTCAGCGCTAACAGCCTCCCCAGCGGGAACAACCAGCAGGCAGCCTGAGCGGGGCCTGATGAAACCTAGACAGCCACGACGGGAAAAGTACGGGGGGCCGGGGGGTACCTGCTGCACAGCGGGACACCCAGGGGAGGATGCTCCTCTGGGGCCTTCCCGTTGCATCTCTTTCTGGTGGGTCACAGGGGAGAGTTTTCCCTTTCTCTTCTTTCTCTCTCTCTTTTGTTTTCACTCTTCCCCAAAAGTAACTTTCTCTGTTAAGGCTGCTGTATACCATCAGCCACAGACCCTGCTGAAAAACCCTCCTGCGTGTGAACCTGTCTCAACATCCTTTGTGAAAAAACAGTCATTCCTAGGAGTGCTTAAATACGCCTTATTATCTTCAAGACTTGCAAAGTCCACCTTACAGCCAACTGTCCAATAGTTTAGGGTACGCTGAATATCTGTGATGTTTTATCAGCACACACATTTTCTATTCTCTAGAGAGTATCTTCCATGCTTTAATTGGAACATTTTTCGTAATTGCTGCTATTTAGCACATTTATTTTGTCAAGTCATGGAATGTCTTTATAGCCATATAATAAACCCTAGAGAACAACTTCTCTGACTGTTGCCATCTGCGGTGATCACAAGAGCAGCTTAGAAAATACTGGCAGTCTTTATAGTAATAGGATACATATGGTGGCACACAATTATGTATGGCTGCATTCAATTAGTGTTGTACAATTACACAGTTTTATTGCTTAGTTAAAACAGTGAAAGCACTACATAGTGGGTAATTTGCACTAATCTCCATTTCTTTAATTGCCCTTCAGTATTTAAATGCAGTAGAACATACATAGCTTTTGTTCTGAGTAACATGAGCATTAAATTATCTTTCACATTCCTTGACTGGCAAGTAGCATACCACAGCTTCACATTGGGCTCCTTTTTATATGGAGTTATAACAGAGTGAGGAGAAGTTACTTTCTTCAGCTTTACAACTCAACTGAAGTAGTTTTCCAAGAAAAGTAATCCCTGGAAACAGATGGGGCACAATACTACAAAATGCAGAGTACCAAATATTCTGCATTGCCAAATATTGCCAAATGAGCCTTTTCCATAATTAATTTCTTGGCTATATGAGTCACGCAAGGTATGGCCTGCTGACGGAGGAAATTTATAAACATTCACAAGGTCACCACAATTCAGAGAAGTCTTTGTAAAAAATAACTGCATAAAATAGAATATGAGATACTAATTAGACTATATTCAGCTCCTGATGTCTAAGTGAACACTTTACATTTCTCAGCAAGTGAATATTTAAAGTCTCTAGTCTTTAATTAAAACTGTTGTTGAAATTAGATTTATTACTGCCATTTCAGAGAGCACTTTCTTTAGTTTCACGAACCAGATGTATTTAACAATCTGTGTTTTTAATAAAGCCATAATTGCCTTTTTTTCCCGTGCTTTTATATAAGCCTATCTCTTTTTCTGGCTTAGTAGCAGAGAAATGTGAATCTGTATCAGATTGCTGGTCCTCTTAAAGATCCAGTTGTATCATTAAAAACAAACACCGTAAGGAAGGGAGAAAAATTTAGTAAATTCTGAATGTCTGCTCATAACTCTAGTACCTGATAGCAGTGTTTTAAGAAGGACTGAGGGGATGTTTCTTTCCCTCTCTAGACACGACTAGCATTAGCAAAGGAGAACTGCTGTTTTTTCTGTATAGTATAGCTAGTTATTGTAAGTTATTGAAGATCTGTAGTGAACGGTGGGGAGAGACTTCTAGATTTTGTTTCTGCTGCAAATGAACTGCTAAAGGGACTGTTAAAGGGATGGTAGGGTTTATTGCATTGTGGTAGGAAAAAATCTAGAATTTCTCCTCTGCAAACAGCTGTAGTTAGGTATGATTTCTGCTGTGGGAGTAGTCATTCAGGATAGGTATTAAGTATGATTTGCTTTTTTGTTGTGAAGTATGATTCCTTCCTCTTTTTTGCCAGGTAATTACTGTCATGGTATCACTGATGGTGAGCCAGACTGCATGCAGCTTTGAATTGATTGTAAAGTATTAATGCGATACATACATACTTTAAGATGCCCTTCTGTAGAGTATTTCAATGTTTTAAGGTGCCGTTAAGGTAAAGAGCATTATATTGCATCATAAACAATTTCAAAACAGGAAGCAAGAACCCAAACCAACAGTTGCCTTAAAGAAAGACTCATGGTCTAATATTTAATTTGGATTCATTTTGTTTTTTTTATTTTAAGCATTTTTCATATATTATCACTGTGTGCAGGTTTGGGGTCTTCATTTTGCATTGGGCCAGCTTTTAAAATTGTGGTGGCTTTTATTGCATTTTCTAGCTTTTTCTTGTGACTGTATCTTAATCTCCCTTTGCACCCCTAAAAAAATCAAAAAGATCATGTTGCTGATGTACAGACCATGTTTGCAAATAGGATTTGCAAGTGTGCAGTCTTGCAGCGCAACCTACATCCATTGATAATGTTGGGAACATACCACTAAGATACTGGTGTGTGACAATCATTCAAGGAGAGGACAGTGTTTCTAGGTGAAATATTCTAGCTAGGTTTGCCTCTTGTCACTTCAATACACAGAGAAGATGATTCTACTGTAGCGATCGGTGCAGTTACTGATGTGTTATTTAAGCAGCTGAATTCCTTGCGTAGGCATTCAAATTCTGTGTAAGTAAAAACAAAAAAAAGAAAAAAAGCCCACACTGAGAATAGGCTGTCAGTGGGGAGTTAATCTAGGAACTGCATTGCTGGAAGGTCTGACCTTGGCTTCTGGGCTTTAACTTCTGGCAAGAGGAAATATCTATGTCCTTTGCTGACCAGGTAGAGAGGTAAGACACCAGTCTACGTTCCCAGTCACATTTAAGGGAAGTTGTCCTGGTCATGAAATTTCAAAGCATGCTTCTCATATGCTGTAGATAAGGAGAAGAAAGAAGAGTGTAAATTAGAAGCAACATTTCAGGCAGTTAGTAAATGATATAGTGGTTTCCTTAATAGAACTATGTTAAGCCTTTGAATTTATTCCTGATTTAGGTTTATGAACATCAAGATGGAAGCAAGTCTCTGAAGCTGGGAGACTTTGGCCTAGCGACAATTGTGGATGGACCTCTTTATACTGTTTGTGGGACCCCAACATATGTAGCTCCAGAAATCATTGCTGAAACTGGGTAATTATAGTGATGATTCACTGATGTGTACACAGTGGAGCATGTTCTCACCAGAGTGTCAATTAGGAGTTTTTGCAATTAAGATTTTTATGCTGCCTTTGCTTGGGTGTAATACAGAGTCATGACCGCAGAAGAGTTTAGCAGGAAGGGACCTCTGGAGGCTATCTTGTCTAATCCAGCTCAAAGCAGGGCTAGCTTTGGAGTTACATCAGGTTGCTTTGCTAGTTCTTAGCCTCAAAGGAGAAAGCTTCTAGTTTAAGCCTGAGATATTAACCATCTATTTACAAATACATAAAAGCAATTTTAACAGTTCACTTAATTTTATTTCATTATCACACATTGTCCTTTTCTTCTGATTTGTTCTATAGAATAAATACACACTGGTCTGAGCAACCTATCTTACCGTTGCAGGCTTTCTGTCAGTAGAGGTCAGAGTCCTATTCAAGATGATAGCACAATTTCTTCTGTGCATCCATACGTTCTGATCTGACGTAGTTTTAAGATGTAAAGGTTTGTCTTGAATTTGAAAGCAGAATTAGATTAGGTAGAGCACAGAGAAAGTTCCTATCAGAATATATAAGAAATTATTGATAATCCTGAAAATATTTCCTCTATTCTTGTACTATAGTTCATATAAATCTGATTTCTCTACCCATATCTCTTACACTTCTAGATATGGCCTGAAGGTGGACATCTGGGCAGCAGGTGTGATTACTTACATCCTGCTCTGTGGTTTTCCTCCATTCCGTGGGTATGGACTCTGATCTACTCAAACGTGCTTGTTCTGTGAATGGTCCCTCTGCTGCTTCTGTGTAAAGCACAAAGATTTTCACTGGAAAAAGTCCTCTGCTCATAGGGTTTTGTTTTTCCCATGCTCTGCATAGTAATTTACACACCGTAAATGTCTGTGATTTTACTGTGAAACCTCTGTCTCGTGTTTGTTTTAGTTGAAACTTCATTGCATTACAAAACAAGAGCCTCCGTTATGGGTTTTAGGTGCCTTTGCCAGATGTTAAAATACACAGTGAAATAAGCATCTTCTTTCATGGATCAAATGCAACATATTTTGTGGTTGGTATAACGCAATTAAAATGTAAGCTACTTAATAAGGATGTTTCAATTTTTATATTAAAGATCTTTTCTTCCTCCCACCAATTGAAAAGTTGCTGTCAGTCCTAAAGACAAGAAGGTTGCCTCCGAAACAGTGTACCAAATGCACTTTGTTTTATGATCACACAATTCATATCTGTAGTTGTGTGCTTGGGGAGAATAAACAGCTTCCAAAAGCATCCTAAGGGATCTGCAATAAAAAACAATTTCAAGAAGCTTGTTAAAACCAGCTCTGAAATAATTCCTATGTGGGTTTTGTTGTTGTTTTTGTTTTCTTTACTCTATAGAAGTGGAGATGACCAAGAAGTGCTTTTTGATCAGATTTTGATGGGACAGGTGGATTTTCCCTCTCCATACTGGGACAATGTTTCTGACTCTGCAAAGGTACGTTTATATAGTTGATACTTTCTTCTGCACTGTTATTCACAGTCCAGTATAAAGTGAACGCTATTCTTCCGCAGTGCTCTGTTTGACATGTCTCATAACATCTCCTGCTACACCCGTAAATTCCCCTGGGTCAACAAGCATCTTTTCATTTGATCAATGTCTATCTGTTAGACTCCAGACTGAAATGGACCCCATCTCTATATGGGTGTCTCATACAGCAGAGACACCAGCAACCCTTCCTGATCAAGAAAAATTTACTGCAACTTTACTTGATTGAAATTATTTTCCTGTTTCTTTCAGTGTGACAGTGTTTAATTAGTCACAGAACAATTGCAATGTTTGGAACTGGATGTGAGGAAAGGAAATAGCATTCTAAATTCTGAATGTTGTTTTTTTGGTGCAGTTATTTCCATCCTTCTTTTAGAGAAATGTGCAGAGTGATAAAGAATAGGATTTTAGTCTGTAAACTGAAGTCAAAAAATGTCAGTCACAGAGCTGGAAGAAGTCCTTTAATCCACTTATTGTTTTATAGCAGGCTTTATTTCATAGCATCACTAATGAGAATTCCGTAGGTCCTTTGCCAGTGGTCTTCTCCTGTGAAACTCCTACTTCTGACTAGTTCATTCTAAAATTTCTGCTTTGAAGCATAGGCCTATTAGTTTATTTTCTTCTCCTTGTTACTAAGAATTATTAACCTCTATCTTTGGCGATATCTCTTTATTTGCCATCATACTGCCGTCTTATTTTCTATGCACTGCACTCACTGATGGAATTGGGTATTTGTTTATTTACGTGCTAGCCAAAAGCTATAGGAAAGTAGTAGCAGAAGAAATCAAAATAGCAAAAATAATATTTCTAAGTGTTTTAAAAATATCTTCTATGTCATTTATACAAGCACTTAAAATACAATTCCTAGATTTTCTGGCTCTTTTCCTACAGAGAATTTGGCTTTCTCTTGATGGGAAGCTAACCTAATTTCATGCAACCATCTGTTTTGTACATTACATATTAGATGCTTTTCTCTTAAACAGTGGCTACAGAACTGTAACTCAGAACTGTCTTCTAGCTTTTCAAGCTACTATTAGATACTGATTTAAAATTTCAGCTTAAAGTGCAGCAGTTTGTATTTGTTCTTTTTTTTAATAATTTTAATATATGTCTGCAGTTGGTAGTTCACTCTGTCTTTGAGCATTCTCATATAATCTGTTGAAGAGCACTTTAGTACATTAAATCTGTTAATTTGCTTTATAAAAGTGTTCTTTAAATTTGACCCAGTATTCCATTTCTCAGGAACTTATCACAATGATGCTTCAAGTAGATGTAGATCTGCGATTCTCAGCCTTGCAAGTTCTTGAACATCCATGGGTTAATGTAAGTAATTTCAGGCTTGTAGATGCTGCTTGTAATTTGGCACCTTTAAGCTCTTCTCTTTTCTAAGTCTTTTCTATGCCTTTTTGAAGCCAGCATATTCTAAAAATGCCAAGAATTAACTGGAAATAAACTCAGTTACATGCTATGTTAGTATATAGTGCACACCTTGAAGTCTTCACTACTTTACGCATGCTCAGCTGCATTTTCTCTGAAATATTTTGGGCCAGGCGTTCAATACATCTCAACTGCACTTGACAAAATTATACCTTTAAGAATCGGCTTGTGGGTTCAGTGACACATTTTGCTCTCCTAAAATCAAATGGCCTCAAAAATCTGACAGTCATGATTAAGAGGTATTGAAATATAGTGCATGGTGTTAAGCCTACTTGATCCAGCATGAAACAGGGAAACCTTGAGGATCATATTTTAACTTCTGAAGTTGAAATATACATATATTTATATGCTACCATATCCATTTAATCTGAGTTACCATGAAATATCTATTTATATATCCTGACTTATCTCTAGGTGAATGGACATTTGCCATAAAAGTGGTAATCAGTGAGGTGGCATATGGATAACTCTGGCAGAGAATGAAGAGATTTGTTTCTAATTAATGTTGAGACAAGGACACTACTTAATATTAGTTAATTATTTCAGACTGTTTAAAATGTCTTAAAATGTTTGGATGACAAGAGAAAGAGAAATTGGAGAAAATTCAAATTCAGATTCAGAAAGGAAGATTGAAAAAGGAAATACAGCTGGGGCCAGTGAAGGAGAAAACAAATTAAAGGAGGAAGAAATAATGTTTCATTTTGCAAGCTGCAAGCTGCAGAAAGAAGTCCTTTCTGAAACACTATTTTGTCCTTCAGATAACAAGTCTGATACAGCTAGCTGCTGTATCCAACAGATTTTTCTCACAAGAACACTATTCTAAAAATTTAAGTATACAATAATCTCAAATGATAATCTTTTTTTTTTAAAAAGTATCCTCTGTATAGCCCAGAATAGCAGTGATCTGTAAGTGTTTACAAAGTATACACCTTAGTGTTAGATGCTAACTTATTCCTCCTTTTTTTTTTTCTGTAAATGCTATTACCATGCAGAGCACTTTTGCCATGTACAGAGTGCAAGGATCCAAGACAGTGTATGATGAAAATCTTTTTAAGCTGACATTCAAGCAGTGGAAATAGTATTTTTCCTTGATGCCAGGTACTGTCCTTGGACACAGTGTTCTGCCACAATTTATAATGACTTTTAGTTACAGAGGCATCTGTTCTTCCTCATAGGAGAAGAGATGAGTGGGAACTTTTGGAAACTTGGTGAGGCAGAGGGAGAGTTTGCTGATCAGAAGCCACAGAGAGGCCAGATCATACACTGGTGTCAAACCAAACACTTCTACTGAGGTTACTGAAACACCACTTGTTTACACCACAGAAGAATGTGGTGATCTTCCTTTTGTGAAAAATACATTGGAACTGTTAACCTTTCCCTTTTTCCCCCCTCCCTTTTTTTTTTTTTTTTGCTTCAGTTACACCATAATATATTTGAGGAAGGCATTTCAGCAAGACGTATTAAGAATAAGAGATGCTGCTCTTTGTCAGGAGCATGGTGCTCCCCAGTGCAGGTGACGTGAGTGTGACAAAACTCCCTGTCCTGGCTAGTGCCTCCTGAGGTGGAGACAGGGAGGAAGGGATAGGCAGCTAAAATCTGTTACCGTTCCAGCACTCCAGTAAAGGCATGCTTCAGTTACTGAAGCACCCTGTGCAATTTCTCATTTTTATGCAGCAAGCTAAAATGCAGCACCCTGAGCCAGAGGGTGCTGTAGGGGCCAAGTATAAATGGATTCAAAAGAGAGTTTGATATGTTTTTGGAGGATGAGTCAGTCCATTGATGCCTATTAAATATGGTGGTTTGGATAACATTTTTGGCTCAGAAAGTCCTGAAACACTTGATTGCCAGAAACTGGAAGAAATGCCAGGGAAAGTTCAAGCCCTGCTTGCCTGTTTGAAAGGTACTATTTCATAAACAGTAACTACTCTCCACTGTTGGAAATGGTATACAGTATTGAATTCACTCTTGGTCTAGCTCTGCTGCACCACTTAGAATCTTATGCTGACTATAATTCTCTGCTATCAAAACCTGTAGCTGTTCTGTCCATAAATATCTGAAACAAGTATTGCATGACAGTTCTATAATTCCTTCTTTTCTGTGCAATTGCTACTTTTAGCAACTGAGAGGAGTCAGTATTTAGTCTTCAGCAGTATGCTAATGACAGTTCATAACACAGATCAAAACCTCTTTTTAATTCTCGTATGTATCTCCCCGATTTTTTTTCTGGAAGGAGAAAGACTAGCACTGGGACCAGTTCAGGAAAGTACTTGAGCACATTTCTAAGTTTGCTCCTGTTTCAAAATATCATGCATGGAAATGCTTGATATTAAGCATAAGATTAACTAGATTGTTCTAAAGTCTAGTTCGGAGAAATCCGAACATGGCTGAGCTGAAGCAGGCGCATAAATGTTTTCGTAAAAGGTCACTTCCCTGGATTAGTTCCCCTAAACAGGGAATGAATACACTTATCCTTATTTACAAAATGCTCAGAGATCTATGAGTCGTAATTATCTGAGCAATTTTCCATAACTTTTGTAAAATACTGTCTTTTTCTTTCCAAAAGAAAAATGGCTCATGAAATTTTCATGTAACACTCTATTTTCCTAATTAACCTGTTTAAATACTTCTCCATGGCACCAAGTGATAGACTTAATTTTTCCTTTTATTGTTTTAGTTTTGGACCTGTTCATAGTGGTAAGATTAGTGAAACTGCTGCTGAAATACTGGATAGGAGAGCTGGATTGAAGAGCAGGCATGTGTTTTCTTTGACAGTTTTAAGGAAACGTTTTCTCTCTTTGATCAAAACTTTGATAGAAGTCTTCTAACTGGTTACACTGTATAAAACCACTTTGTAGATTGTAAATAACCATTCTACTTTATAGCAGCTTACTATGTGATTATTTGGTACATTGCTGAGATTCCTGGAATGTACTTTGACAGTTTCGATAGGAGCCAGCTCTCATTTCAGTTTCAGTTTTTGCTATAAAAATAGCTGGAATCCTCTTGGAAACTGCAAAACTTGTTATGGTCAGAGTCAGACCAGTAAAGCAGTTCCTATGTCAGTAATATCCCAGCTGTTTTCAATTCAAAAAACAAAACCTGAAAAGATGTTGGCTACTTGCCATTGCCACAGATGGAGATCTTGGATTCTAAATGCGATTCAGCAGCAATTCTCTGCCCCCTCGATTTAGTTTATTTGGATTTGTCTCTCATATGCAGTACACTTAGACCTGGAAACAAATCCATCAGTTTATACTTCCCCTACTGGGACCCCAGCTCTTTCCTTTACCTGCTCAAATTCTTTCCAAAACCAAAGAATTATGAAAGGGGCTGGAAGCTTGAGGTCTGGCATTTTAAACATTGGCAATAGGATATAACCTGAAATATGCTAGTGGCAAGTTATGGGACAAATCGTCTCTCTTTTTGTTGGATGAGCAGTAAATATTTTCTAATTTATTCTACAGCATTGATCAGTGAATGCTGAAAGAGAAGGATTACATTCTGCAAATCCTTCTCTGTTAAACTAATCAATATAAAACGTGGCTGGAAGAAGAAGATTGTGCACCCCAGTCTAAAAGAATTAGGGAAAGTGTAGCTTTAAAATATTTCCTTAACCAGAGTTGCCTTGGAGATTTGTATGTGAATAAATGAATAACCAAACAGTAAATAGTAATAAACTGAACATTTGTAGAGAAGTTAATTTAAAAAGACGTTTCTTGTTTGGCAGCTGCAGTATTTTTGGTCACACCCTAGGATACTGCCCAAAGAAAAATCTCCTTGTAATCCTTAAAGGAAGCAGAGTCAAAAAGCTTTTCCGGCACTTTTATTTGCTCTAATTTTCTGCTGTTATTTATATAATGACCTCTTCATGTGCTGCATTTAGACCTGGAAAGTAAACCTCTTGTGACCAGCTTGTGAAATGGATCTGAGTGCTTCAGGGCAGTAGGAGTCTGGGAATCCTGAACTTTGTTCAGTCTTTTTAACACTTTTTTTTTCCTTTGAGTGGCAATGTGTCCTGCCTTATAGAATGATGCAAATGTGAAAATAGTGTTTATTTCATACTCCCGTGATGCTAGAACCCTCTGCCTCATTTTTGTAGGGTTTCATTTTTTTTTAATACTGGCAGATAGAACAAAAAAGGTGTTTTACGGAACCTGATAAAAAAAAATCTAAAGATCCCAAGCAGTGAACAAGGTCTAGGTGAAAATTCAACATCTGGACCAGAGTTTTTAAACTGTTAAAGGATTTTGGATGCTTAATTTTTGAAACATGCTAAGGAGAGCTCTTTTTTCAGAGGGTCAGCAGTCAGCATTTTCTGAAGCTCATGACCCTTTAAAGAGTTGAGCACCAAAAACCGCTAGTCATCTTTAGAAGATCTTATCCTGACTGCTAAAGGTTAAGATGAAATTCTGTGATCATCACCCATTGCAAGAAGTAGTTCATATAACTAAAGGCTAAAGTAGCAGAAGGAAACACTATTAACTTCTGTAGGGCCTGACAGCCTTCCCATTACAGCGTCTAGATGAAGTTCTTGTCAGGAATATTTAGCCTATTCTACCATTCTACAACTTGTCCTGCTGATTCTAGTGAATCTGGCGTTTTTCTTCACTTCCTGCCTTTTTAAACTGCAGAGCAACTTGTTTTGTATGTAGCTAAACATCTAGCTGTCATCTCTCACCTTCAATGGCTGTTTTAGTGTTGGTTGAAGTGATTCCAGGAACCAGTGTATATAAATGAACTTGTTTACGAAGTACTTTGGAATAAAAAAAGATAGCTAGTAAATGTCAGGTAGCACCCACAGCAGTTAGAAAATTTAATAATGACAGAATAATTCCTATATATACCTATGCTATGTCTTAAAATGAGCTGGAAGATACATAATCTAAAAGCTGGAGCCGGTACTATGTCTCTCTGGCATATTGCCACTGGAATTGTGCGGGTGGTGCTTCACCAATAAAACATTACCACAGTCTTGGTAACTATTGTCTTCTCTGTAATTTAGTCTTTTGACAAGATGACAGGAAGGTCTGGCAGGCTTTCATGTCAAGAAAGCCAAAAGAATGATTTTTTTTTTCCTCCAGTGAAGAAGAGTTCACTTTATAGACTGGCTTATTTCTGGGAAAGGCAAGGTCAGCAGAATGCAGATTATTTTTAGGGGTCGTATACCACCAAGCCAAGACTCCCCAGTGCTAGACAATAATCAGCTACTATATTGTATTGTTTTGTTTTGTATTTTGCAGCTGTGTGCACTTGACCACATTTTGCCAGCTGCAGCGTTTTGTTAAGGGATGAGTGAGGGCTCTCTAAACACAAACTCCCCAAACTAAATAAATCACAGACCAAACCGAACCTCCCTAACGTTCCCATATACTCAGAGAGATCAGGATTTACTGCAGCAACTATGTAACTCCTAAAGTGCCCTAAGAATTGCTATGAAGCCGGCAAAATGGATGCTTGTGATATCGCTATGTTCTGATCTTGTCTATTCTTTGTATATGTTCTGCTAGAGGTCGATTTTAGTGTATCTTAAAATCTTTTTTCAACTGTTGATAGCTACAGATACAAAGCAGTAACACCCCAGGCTGACCGTTGTGGATACCAGTGGCCAGATATCCTGCCTGTTGTGCATATTCTGAATATTGTTGCCTGATATCCTGCCTGTTCTGCTAGGGAGAAAGTCTCACCAAACAGTGGCTTTTTGCACTGCCTCCTGAGCAGCCTGCCAGTCATACTGGTTGGTTTTTGCCTTCTGAATTAGTCACAGGAGGCCTTGTTTTCAGTTTCCAAAAAATTACTTTCTGGGGCGTGAATTTAACTGCTGACTTATGTACCGCTGCAAACGCCCTTCTTTTTGCTGGGGTTTTGCTTCTGCTGGGGAATGTCTGTGTGCCTCAGTGCAGATAGATACCTGTCGGCTCTGAAAAGCAGGCAAGAGTAGCCTGGAGAAGGCACCTCCCTAGCCCAGCTGTACAGTTGCTGGAGTGGAGCTATCGGACAGCTGGCTAGCTGGGTGTGCAGGGCAGGAGAATATGTGTCTCCCTGTACTTGTCTATGCAGCTGTGTGCCTACTTTTATTTCAGGTTAACTCAGATTGAGAACACGTGTTTTTTGGCAAGGAAGCAACGGCCACCCACAGCTGACTCCAAATCTTCTCTGTTTTCCTACCTGGGCAGTGTGTACCTCTGGCTCTCCTTTGCCCACAGCATCACAGGCTTGTGTGTCTTGTGATGGGAGAGGGAGCTGCTGTGCCTTGTTGAAGTTTGCAGTTACAGATTATCAGTCAGACTTCTGTGAAGGAAACTCAAGTTTTGGAGGTGACTTCATTTAGCTATAGTTTCAGTATGGTAAAATTGCAGTCTGCAATTGTGCAAATGGTTATCTGTCATTCATGGTTCCAGGGACATGATAGCAAGTCATTAGCCTGCACCTAAACTGACCTGCAGAGGTATACCATGATATGTGCTCATATTTGTGAGGTCCTGTGTTCACCCACAGTGAAGATCTCGGCTGAGGCATGTCTCAGCTCCCACCTTGCCTGGATTTCCTCTCCATGGGGCTTACTGAGAGCTGGAACATTAGCTGGGACATTCGTTCAACCCAGCAGTTCCTGATCTGTGGCCTCTGTGACTGGGTTGTGGAGGTCCCATTTAGGAGTTATAAGTTGCCTTATCTCAGATTAGTTTTTGGCGAACATCTAGCGCGTGCTTGTATCAAGCTCCCTCAAGATTTAAAGTCTTCCCTTCACACTGCTACAGGGGAACTTCCTCTTTTTCTTACTGAAAGACAATTTGTTTAAAACAGAGAGTCTCCGTAAGTGGTGTCTCACGGAGTTTCCTTTCCTGCTTCCCACCAAAACTGGACTTCTGGTTTCTGTAATCTCTTGGGCACTTTCTACTTTTGAGATCATTATCTTTAAATTTATTTGATGAATCAACAGAATACGGGATAGGTCCAAGCTTATTACACTTTGAAATATTGATGGACATAAAAGCCACTGCACAGTGGAAGTTAAGACATGGTAGAAATAAGAGTGAAATAGTTATTAATTGTTATTATTAAACATTACCAAAAATTTGAGAGGGAGATAATAGGTAAAGAGGAGGAGAGAGGCTGGTTTTGTGATCTAATATGATACTCATCTTACAAATAGCTTGGATATTTTAATAGGAACAGTGACTGACAAATACTTCCTTACAGATTTTTTCTTAAACTTTTCTACATTGACAGCTACTATCAGAATCACCTCATAATACCTTTATTTTGCATTTTCTCTCTGAAATTTTTTGTTTGTTTGTTTCTCGGCAGGACGATGGCCTTCCAGAGAATGAACATCAGCTATCAGTAGCTGGGAAGATAAAGAAGCATTTCAACACAGGCCCTAAACCGAACAGCACAGCAGCTGGAGTTTCTGTCATAGCAGTAAGCATCTGAAATACATAGCTGAAACATCTAAATATGTGACCACAAGGCAGTGTGTGTTCAGGAGATGCCACCAAGAGTAGCCAGAGAGGGTCAATCTATAGATAATTCTAGCATTTAATTAATATATTTAGACTTATATTCTGCACAATTTCTCCTCGTGAGTCACATTGTTATTTAACAGCCCTGAGATATCAAAAAGTAAGCACACTTCTATATTTTGCTAGAAGATTGGTGGGCTAACTCCAATGTAAATTCAACATTTGAAACTGTGGGATCATGTCATTTTATTTGGCAGCAGAATCATCACATGGATTGAGGCAACACAGAGGTTGTAGAAGGACAGCAGCACTTTACAATGAGTGGAAATTATTCCAAAATTGTAACAGAAAATCTGTACAGCAACCTGAGCTTCTCTTCTCTGAAGATACCAAAAAGAGCTGTGATGACTCACTGCATACTGAAAAGTGCTACCTTCCTAGTTTATGCTAATTAGCCATTTCAGATGTAGCTGAGCTGAATTTTATTCAGTTACATGTCCCAAGTACATGCAACTTGCTAGCTGCTTCCCTTTTGGGCAGAAGGACTAAATTTGTTAAAGACTTAATAGAGCTTCTTGCTACCTTCTGTGCAGTCTAGGTATTCCAAATTATAAGGTATTGGAGCTTCTGAAACTAAGCTTGACCAAACTCTTGACCAAGCTCTACTGAGATTTCAGTGGCATCCTCAGTGCAGCATAAATCACATACATTTGTATTTTTTCCCAAAGGTGAACATGTGTGTTAGATATACATGCACACGGAATATTTTCAGCATTTTATGAGATTATTCATACTAATGCCATTAAATAGTAACATGTACATCCTTTACATTTTTGATACATCTGCCTGTGTTTGTAAGCTTTTCTTTATTACTCATGGTAATGTTAACGCTCCAGATAGTCACTAAAAATAAGTGACACATTAAACATAACCATTCCCATATCGAATTACTCGGTGTTCATTCCCAGCTTCCATAAATTGCAGGTGGTGTGACTGCACATGTACACTCTCTTGTACTGTTTCCACTTTCATGTTTCTCAGCTCAGCCCCTCCAGTGGTGAGTTAAATCAGCATGAAGTAAACTCAGCTCAGCACATGCAATCTGGCTCGCAGGTGTGATCTCTTTGTGCAGCAAAATAGATACTTTCTCAAAGTTACTCGGTATAAGTACTTACAACTTCAAGCTGTGCCTCTCTCATATTTTTTCTTTACTCTTTCCAACCCTAAACTTCCTCACCATGGAAGCAAATTGTCCCTCATGCTTTCCTTAGATTTTCTCAGTCATCAGCTAACATAGTCAGCATTTTTTATTTTCGTTTTTTAAGCAATAATACTGCAACAGCTCTCCCACAACTAAAACATCACATACCCATTGCTCATCTGAAATGCAGGTATGTTCTGTACAGACTAGTTGAAACTGTGTTCTGTTCGAGTGGACTGCCAGCACGCTTGTCCATGAGATTACTGCTCAGAGCCTCTCTGCAAATAACTTCCAAGCTTAGAAGCAAAAAAGGATGCCTCTGTCCTCAACCATCCCTCACCTTCTTTATTTTTTTTTAATTTCCCCACCTTCCTCTTTTTTTTCTTTGCCTCAGTTGCTCTGGCAAGGAGCTGTTTACAGCAGTTTGACCCTTCAGTAATGAAAAAAGGCACTGTAGTGAATCTTTCCACTGGAAAACATTATAAATCAGGAAATATATATATGTATATGTATATATGTGTGTGTGTATGTTAGTTTATAATCTTTAACGGCTTTTTTTAGTGTTTGAAAATTTAACAAATTATTTTCAGTGGTCATCTCTATGGGTAAACGTCACACTTCAGCATGATTAATTCGGCATTCTGTAAAGTAGAAATGTTCAGAATATTTTTAAAAATTCAGAAAGTGGTTTCGTTAGCTAGTGTGACTTATTTTCTAAAAACATGGAGGATCTGGGGAACTACAAATCTCTTTAGTGTTTTGGTAATGTTCCAGAAGGCTAGATAATATTGATTTTAAGAATAAACTACCTTTGTTTTATACAAAACTAACTTAATAAGTAAAACAAAGCCGAAAGCAAAAACAACTAAACCTTTAATTATTGTTTCTGCATTTAAAAGCGTGTGCAACATACGTTTGACATGCTTAGTCATTAGGGTTTTACATTTGGGAATCTTCCTTTTCACTGCGATATCAAATATCATAGAAGTAAACCTTATTAACTAAGCCTGCTCTACATTTAGGATTTTCAAAGTATATACAGATGCTGTAACTTATTGTTCAGCACCAAAGGAGTGCACTAAGTATATTTTCTAAGAAAAACACTGTTTTATTGTGCCTGCCTGTATGTTTACTGTAACTTTTTGGGAGAATGCTTGTGTATATAATATATAATGGTGGATTCTATATATTATATAGCACATCTGTGTTTACACATTTTTGTGTGTGTTTGAAAATGTGTTAATATGTGCAAATATTTATATAGATTACTTATATTATCAAATAGAAATCTTAGCATTATTTTGAATTATAACTTCATTTATGAACAGACAGAGCTAATCTATGGTATTTAGTTCTTAATTTGTCCTCAGTCTGGTATGCTATTATATGCCTATTTTCTTTTGTGGTAAGAAGTAACACACCTCAAAGATCTCAAGCTATATTCATCGTATGCACCAATTAAAACTAACGTGAAAATTAAGTTAAAAAGGATGTATTTGTGGTCGGCGTGATTGGCAGGAAGTTTGAAGCCACGTGTATTTTACGTGCACGTACCGTGGCTGCTGCTTCCTTCAGCAACGTTCAAATACGTTGGGTTTACTCCTTTTGTTCAGGCAACCGTTTGCTTTGTGTACATCGCAATTCTCAGTAAAAGCTGGCTGTGACCATTCAGGTCAGAGACTCCTGGAAGTTCTCAGGCGCGTGTCCAGACTTTACGTTTGTCTGCCTTTAAAAGGATCCGTCAGCTGGGGCAAACTGCCGTAATGAACGTGCTGTGCATGCCTCGCAAAGTAGTTCCTTTGCTGATGTAGCTGAAGATGATTCCTCAAACAAAATTAACTACGCAGGCAAAGAGAGGCGGGCTTTGGTACACTAAAACGTCGTTAAACGTTCTACCAGCATAAATATGTCAATCGGAAAAAAACAAAGAAATCATTCCCTTAAACCAGCATAGCTTTGCCAGTAAAACGTAATTGGAGAGCCAGCCTTTAAAACAGCTATAAAATTAAGAAGCCCCTAAAAAACATTGCTTGCTGATGGGAGAGTCTGTTGGAGAAAGCTCACTGTTCTTGCCCCATTCTTAAACTCTTCAGAAGCATCTCGTACAGGTCACTGTCAAAGACAGGCTGCTAGACTAGGTGCCCCTTCGGTCTGTCTCACAACAGCCATGTTTCTATTAGTCATGTGCCAAAATATTTGCAGGATCAGGTTTCCCGTATAGCTTTCCAACAGAAATAATATTTTGTAGTTCCACCGGGGTGTTTGTAAAAGCTACTGCAGTACAAACAGAAAAACAGGTGTTTACTAAATAGACTTTTAAAGTTTGGGCTAGAGTTTTTCAGTCAGTTCTTAAGTGTGTCATCCCGTTGTTTCTTTGCCGCTGAACAGTACCCTGTGGCAGGGCGCTCTGCGTTTTAATGACACTGCCTAAAGTAAGCAAGAGGAAGCCAAAATAAATTTGTTAAGAACGCTTTGCAGTCCAGAGGTGTGCTGTAATTCTCTATCCTAGCTGAGCATTGTTCAGTTTGTGTTCTTGTCTGAAGTGTTAAAGCTTTGCCTGTATGTTGTCACTTTTGTGCTTGCATTTTTGCCAGTATTCAGACAGAAGAAAAGGCTAACGATGCCATTACGTTAAGGGTTTGTGAGGACTCTGTCGTGGCAATGGGAGTAAATTCCAGCTTGAGACTCACAAGAACCAAGTAGGAGAGAAACAGAGAAAAGCTGGCCTTGAAAGCTGATGGCCTGACAGTGTGCCCAGCGGCGGGGACTCAGGCTTCGCAGCCGGCAGCTTGTGGCCTCAGACGAGCTGAGACGCAACCTGGGGTGCTGCCTGACGCCGGGGAAGGGGAAGGCAGCAGAGCAGTCGTTTGCATGCCTGCTGCTGATTACAGACTGACATTGAAGATCACCAGTAGCATTTCTAGGAGCGAAATTTCTTGGGTGGTGAGGAAGAGAAGCCAAGTCTCTTAATTTTGTTTGGCTTAAAGAACAACCTGTGACTCAAATGTCACTTCGTAGCTGTTTGTGTTGCTCCGGGATCATTGTGTATAATCAGTTTTTTTCATTGAATAATTTCCGCAGTGACTAAATTGTTTGAACTCGTTTCAGAAATCTAACTTCCTCGATTTTCCTCTCGATTGCTTTTTGTCTGTTAGGTTTTTGAGGAGTACTTTTTGGTCTGCTTTTCAAAAAACACCCCTTTTGTGTATTTTATATGCAGTGTACTAGGAAGCCAGTAGATGGCAATAGCAGACCAGTGTAGTTAAGCCTACAGAAGATTAACTCTAGGTACAAGGTTCTCATGTTTTTAAACAGGAAATGTCCTTTAAATAATTCTAAATAAAATGAAACAGGCATTGTTTTAACAAAATGGAATAAATTATTAAATCCCGTACTTGCAGTGTAGGCATCAAGGAAATTTTAAATTTATTTAGATCCTAACTACACGTAAAAGTAGTTGGTAGCTAGGAATGTGTTGAACTGCTTTTCTGAATTTAGAATTAGTAACTGTCATCAGTATTGGAAATATATGCCACACTCTTAATGAAGCACAAAATGGCCTTTTCCCTTCATAGGGTACAATGAGAAAATCGTTGGCGTCTCCAGTATTAAAGCGGGCAGAGTGTCTCTCTCAAGATATTTTCCCCTAAAATTTTATTTAACTCAGTTAAGTGCTCTCTCAACCATATGTTAGTACAGCACAGAAGGGCTAGAGAAAACAACACATTTTCTTTGTTCCTGTGCACATAGTTCTGCTA